GCCAGGTCTAACGTTAGCCCGTCTGCAGCAGCCAAGGCTAACGTTAGCCCTTCTGCAGCAGCCAGGTCTAACGCTAGCCCTTCTGCAGCAGCCAAGGCTAACATTAGCCCGTCTGCAGCAGCCAGGGCTAACGTTAGCCCTTCTGCAGCAGCCAGGTCTAATGCTAGCCCTTCTGCAGCAGCCAAGGCTAACGTTAGCCCGTCTGCAGCAGCCAGGGCTAACATTAGCCCTTCTGCAGCAGCCAGGTCTAACGCTAGCCCTTCTGCAGCAGCCAGGGCTAACGTTAGCCCTTCTGCAGCAGCCAGGTCTAACGCTAGCCCTTCTGCAGCAGCCAGGGCTAACGCTAGCCCTTCTGCAGCAACCAGGTCTAACATTAGTTCGTCTGCAGCAGCCAGGCCTAACGCTAGCCCTTCTGCAGTAGCCAAGGCTAACGTTAGCCCGTCTGCAGCAGCCAGGGCTAACGCTAGCCCTTCTGCAGCAACCAGGTCTAACATTAGTCCGTCTGCAGCAGCCAGGGCTAACGTTAGCCCTTCTGCAGCAGCCAGGTCTAACGCTAGCCCTTCTGCAGCAGCCAAGGCTAACGTTAGCCCGTCTGCAGCAGCCAGGGCTAACGTTAGCCCTTCTGCAGCAGCCAGGTCTAACGCTAGCCCTTCTGCAGCAGCCAGGTCTAACGTTAGCCCGTCTGCAGCAGCCAGGGCTAACGTTAGCCCTTCTGCAGCAGCCAGGTCTAACGCTAGCCCTTCTGCAGCAGCCAAGGCTAACGTTAGCCCGTCTGCAGCAGCCAGGGCTAACGTTAGCCCTTCTGCAGCAGCCAGGTCTAATGCTAGCCCTTCTGCAGCAGCCAAGGCTAACGTTAGCCCGTCTGCAGCAGCCAGGGCTTACGTTAGCCCTTCTGCAGCAGCCAGGTCTAACGCTAGCCCTTCTGCAGCAGCCAGGGCTAACGTTAGCCCTTCTGCAGCAGCCAGGTCTAACGCTAGCCCTTCTGCAGCAGCCAGGGCTAACGCTAGCCCTTCTGCAGCAACCAGGTCTAACATTAGTTCGTCTGCAGCAGCCAGGCCTAACGCTAGCCCTTCTGCAGCAGCCAAGGCTAACGTTAGCCCGTCTGCAGCAGCCAGGGCTAACGCTAGCCCTTCTGCAGCAGCCAGGGCTAACGTTAGCCCGTCTGCAGCAGCCAGGGCTAACGTTAGCCCTTCTGCAGCAGCCAGGTCTAACGCTAGCCCTTCTGCAGCAGCCAAGGCTAACGTTAGCCCTTCTGCAGCAGCCAGGTCTAACGCTAGTCCGTCTGCAGCAGCCAGGTCTAACGCTAGTCCGTCTGCAGCAGCCAGGGCTAACGTTAGCACTTCTGCAGCAGCCAGGTCTAACGCTAGTCCGTCTGCAGCAGCCAGGGCTAACGCTAGCCCTTCTGCAGCAGCCAGGGCTAACGCTAGCCCTTCTGCAGCAACCAGGGCTAACGTTAGCCCTTCTGCAGCAGCCAGGTCTAACGCTAGTCCGTCTGCAGCAGCCAGGTCTAACGCTAGTCCGTCTGCAGCAGCCAGGGCTAACGTTAGCCCTTCTGCAGCAGCCAGGTCTAACGCTAGTCCGTCTGCAGCAGCCAGGGCTAACGTTAGCCCTTCTGCAGCAGCCAGGGCTAACGCTAGCCCTTCTGCAGCAACCAGGTCTAACGTTAGTTCGTCTGCAGCAGCCAGGGCTAACGTTAGCCCTTCTGCAGCAGCCAGGGCTAACGCTAGCCCTTCTGCAGCAACCAGGTCTAACGTAGTTCGTCTGCAGCAGCCAGGGCTAACGTTAGCCCGTCTGCAGCAGCCAGGGCTAACGTTAGCCCTTCTGCAGCAGCCAGGTCTAACATTAGTCCGTCTGCAGCAGCCAGGGCTAACGTTAGCCCTTCTGCAGCAGCCAGGGCTAACGCTAGCCCTTCTGCAGCAACCAGGTCTAACGCTAGTCCGTCTGCAGCAGCCAGGGCTAACGTTAGCCCTTCTGCAGCAGCCAGGTCTAACGCTAGTCCGTCTGCAGCAGCCAGGTCTAACGCTAGTCCGTCTGCAGCAGCCAGGGCTAACGTTAGCCCTTCTGCAGCAGCCAGGTCTAACGCTAGTCCGTCTGCAGCAGCCAGGGCTAACGCTAGCCCTTCTGCAGCAGCCAGGGCTAACGCTGGCCCTTCTGCAGCAGCCAGGGCTAACACTAGCCCTTCTGCAGCAACCAGGTCTAACGTTAGTTCGTCTGCAGCAGCCAGGGCTAACGTTAGCCCATCTGCAGCAGCCAGGGCTAACGTTAGCCCTTCTGCAGCAGCCAGGTCTAACGTTAGCCCGTCTGCAGCAGCCAGGGCTAACGTTAGCCCTTCTGCAGCAGCCAGGTCTAACGCTAGCCCTTCTGCAGCAGCCGGGGCTAACGCTAGCCCTTCTGCAGCAACCAGGTCTAACATTAGTTCGTCTGCAGCAGCCAGGGCTAACGCTAGCCCGTCTGCAGCAGCCAGGCCTAACGCTAGCCCTTCTGCAGCAGCCAAGGCTAACGTTAGCCCGTCTGCAGCAGCCAGGGCTAACGCTAGCCCGTCTGCAGCAGCCAGGCCTAACGCTAGCCCTTCTGCAGCAGCCAAGGCTAACGTTAGCCCGTCTGCAGCAGCCAGGGCTAACGCTAGCCCTTCTGCAGCAGCCAGGGCTAACGTTAGCCCTTCTGCAGCAGCCAGGTCTAACGCTAGCCCTTCTGCAGCAGCCAAGGCTAACGTTAGCCCGTCTGCAGCAGCCAGGGCTAACGCTAGCCCTTCTGCAGCAACCAGGTCTAACATTAGTTCGTCTGCAGCAGCCAGGGCTAACGTTAGCCCGTCTGCAGCAGCCAGGGCTAACGTTAGCCCTTCTGCAGCAGCCAGGTCTAACGCTAGCCCTTCTGCAGCAGCCAAGGCTAACGTTAGCCCATCTGCAGCAGCCAGGGCTAACGCTAGCCCTTCTGGAGCAACCAGGTCTAACATTAGTTCGACTGCAGCAGCCAGGGCTAACGTTAGCCCTTCTGCAGCAGCCAGGGCTAACGCTAGCCCTTCTGCAGCAACCAGGTCTAACGTTAGTTCGTCTGCAGCAGCCAGGGCTAACGTTAGCCCGTCTGCAGCAGCCAGGGCTAACGTTAGCCCTTCTGCAGCAGCCAGGTCTAACATTAGTCCGTCTGCAGCAGCCAGGGCTAACGTTAGCCCTTCTGCAGCAATGAGGTCTAACGTTAGTTCGTCTGCAGCAGCCAGGGCTAACGCTAGCCCTTCTGCAGCAGCCAGGGCTAACGCTAGCCCTTCTGCAGCAACCAGGTCTAACGCTAGTCCGTCTGCAGCAGCCAGGGCTAACGTTAGCCCTTCTGCAGCAGCCAGGTCTAACGCTAGTCCGTCTGCAGCAGCCAGGTCTAACGCTAGTCCGTCTGCAGCAGCCAGGGCTAACGCTAGCCCTTCTGCAGCAGCCAGGGCTAACGCTAGCCCTTCTGCAGCAGCCAGGTCTAACGCTAGTCCGTCTGCAGCAGCCAGGGCTAACGTTAGCCCTTCTGCAGCAGCCAGGGCTAACGCTAGCCCTTCTGCAGCAACCAGGTCTAACGTTAGTTCGTCTGCAGCAGCAAGGGCTAACGTTAGCCCGTCTGCAGCAGCCAGGGCTAACGTTAGCCCTTCTGCAGCAGCCAGGTCTAACGTTAGCCCGTCTGCAGCAGCCAGGGCTAACGTTAGCCCTTCTGCAGCAGCCAGGTCTAACATTAGTCCGTCTGCAGCAGCCAGGGCTAACGTTAGCCCTTCTGCAGCAGCCAGGTCTAACGCTAGCCCTTCTGCAGCAGCCACGGCTAACGTTAGCCCGTCTGCAGCAGCCAGGGCTAACGTTAGCCCTTCTGCAGCAGCCAGGTCTTACGCTAGCCCTTCTGCAGCAGCCAGGTCTTACGCTAGCCCTTCTGCAGCAGCCAAGGCTAACGTTAGCCCGTCTGCAGCAGCCAGGGCTAACGCTAGCCCTTCTGCAGCAACCAGGTCTAACATTAGTTCGTCTGCAGCAGCCAGGGCTAACGTTAGCCCGTCTCCAGCAGCCAAGGCTAATGTTAGCCCTTCTGCAGCAACCAGGTCTAACATTAGTTCGTCTGCAGCAGCCAAGGCTAACGTTAGCCCGTCTGCAGCAGCCAGGCCTAACGCTAGCCCTTCTGCAGCAGCCAAGGCTAATGTTAGCCCTTCTGCAGCAACCAGGTCTAACATTAGTTCGTCTGCAGCAGCCAGGGCTAACGTTAGCCCGTCTGCAGCAGCCAGGCCTAACGCTAGCCCTTCTGCAGCAGCCAAGGCTAACGTTAGCCCGTCTGCAGCAGCCAGGCCTAACGCTAGCCCTTCTGCAGCAGCCAAGGCTAATGTTAGCCCTTCTGCAGCAACCAGGTCTAACATTAGTTCGTCTGCAGCAGCCAGGTCTAACGTTAGCCCTTCTGCAGCAGCCAAGGCTAACGTTAGCCTATCTGCAGCAGCCAGGGCTAACGCTAGCCCTTCTGCAGCAACCAGGTCTAACATTAGTTTGTCTGCAGCAGCCAGGGCTAACGTTAGCCCTTGTGTAGCCAGGTCGCTGCAGCAGCCAGGGCTAACGTTAGCCCTTCTGCAGCAGCTAGGGCTAACGTTAGCCCTTCTGTAGCCAGGTCGCTGCAGCAGCCAGGGCTAACGTTAGCCCTTCTGCAGCAGCCAGGGCTAACGCTAGCCCTTCTGCAGCAACCAGGTCTAACATTAGTCCGTCTGCAGCAGCCAGGGCTAAGGTTAGCCCTTCTGTAGCCAGGTCGCTGCAGCAGCCAAGTCTAACGTTAGCCCGTCTGCAGCAGCCAGGGTTAACCCTTCTTCTGCAGCAGCCAGGTCAAGTAAATAAACCACTTTTTTTAAATAAATTGTTTCAGAACCAAAATTTTAAGTGATATGTTTAGTTTTAATGTGATTTAATATATTTATTTATATTTTCACTGATAGAGATGAAAGGTTTAGATGCTAAGATGTAAAGCAGGACAGCGGTGGTTTGACTTCTGCGCCGCTCTCCTTCCTTCAGGGCTCTAAGGAAACACCTGACCCAGTCCGAGATGCGCAGGGCGGCGAGGAAACCCCACCTCCTGGTCCGGATCAAGCTGCCTCCGCCGCCGCCGCACTCCCTGCCCATGCCGCTCCTTCCCTCCAGCACCAGCGAACCCATCGTACTGGAAGACTGAAGCCTCCTCCGATCCTTCCTGTTTCCTTATTTCCTTGTTTTCCTCCTTAAACTCGTCTCGTTTAACAGAGTATTTGTTTTTGTTTTTCTTATTTAAACAAAGCAGATCAACATTCTGTCTCTATGGGTTTTTACTCTGGATTCTAAAAAATTTAATATTCCCCGTTTTTAAATGCTTAATTTAATAGTTACTTCTCCCACCCCTAAACGATGATGATGATGAAGCACATTTCGATCTCCTCTCTGCGTCTCCTACGTTCTTGTAAATAGGTTTCTGCTCTCCTCCATCTCTGCACCCGGAGAACCGGGCAAGTTCAGGAGAAACGCTGTGAGGCGTTTAACTTTTGGTTCAACCAAAAAACGGGCGGGAACCATCCAGACTCACCTAGAGTCCAGTTTTTATCTAGTTTCCTGTTTTAGTGACCAAGTCTGGTATGATGAGCGCCTCCTCCAGCTCCTCAGAGTCCAGCCGACGTCTCCATGAAGCAGGCGGTCTGTAGGAGGAGGGGGCGGGGCTTTGTTAATGGCTGCTGCGCTGTTAGCGCACAGCTAGCGTAGCTGCAGGTGTTCCACTAACAGCGGATTGAGGAAAGGAATTATTTTATGCAAGCCGTCATCTTCTAAAAATTAAGCAGCAATAAAAAAAATGATCAGAGGAGGTTTCTTTTTTTTTCTTTTATTTTTACTGCCATGATGTGGAGCAGGAAGTTGTGGGCGTGGCTTTAACTCTTCTCTGCCAATCGGGATCTGGGTGTGTGCATGATCACCACCTCTGTTTCTATTACCTCTGTGGGGAGAAATTTGCTCCAATATTATTAAAGCTGATGCAAAACCAGAAAAAGAGCTTTTTCTTTTAACTTTTTTCGTATCTTATTTTTCTGTTTTCAATTTTTTTTCTGATTCTGTTTTTTTCAGATATTTTTTCTATTTTTTTTTTTTTTTATAAGATCAAGTAAAAATAATTTACTTTTCAAATCCCATTTTACATATTCCAACCTCTACTCTTCTGCGTGATCTGTGCACGGACCAATAGAAATGCTGTTGCTAACAGCCACGCCCGGCAGACTAATTTCTATTGGTCTGCACAGTTTCCCCAAAAGAATAAAAAAAATAAAAGCTTAAATTAAAAAAATTACATTTTGCAGAAATGCAATAAAAAATATATCTGAAAAAACATTTAATGGTAATTTAACAGAATAATAAAAATAAATGAAGAAAAAACATTTTGGAAATAAATCTGAAAAAATTGTAAAAATGAGGTCGATTCTATTTTTTTTTTTTTTTTTTTTTTGTATAAGTATTATAAATTACTTTTGAATTTTTTTTATATTTAGGAATTTTTTTTACATTTTTGAAACTCATTTTCTTGTTGAAACATGTTTGAAATTTTGCTTTTAATAATATTGGAGCAGATTTCTCTCCGTATTCCTCCCCCAGTCAGTTTGTCTCATTTTAAAGGGCGAGCATCGAGAGGCGGTAACCGGGAATCCCACGGTTACACACGTTTGGTCCCAATGTGGACTTAGTTTTTTCAACAACAAAAAAAAGGAAAAAAGTTTTGAGTGTAGCTTGTTAAAAGCCATGTAAATGTTCAACAAAAAATAAATAAATTGGCAAATTTTTAAAAGAAAAAATTCAAATGTGCTCCATAATCAGGGAGGAGCATTTACCCTTTCAACAGGTTGGGGAGGGGGGACATTGGGGCTGATGGTTTTTGTAAAAGGAAAATTAACCCGGCAGAATGAAAATTTTCTCAATTGTTTTTTTTTCTTATTCCGCCTGTATCCTCAAATGTACCTTGATTGAAAAAATAAAGGTGTTTTTTTTTTTTTCTTGGTCTCCAGTCGTGGTTTAATCAGAACTGCTTTCCCTCTTCAAATTTAACTATTGCTCTAAACATTTCCGATATAATACCGATATTGCCGCTATGAGAATTGTCCGATATCAACCTGATACAAAATGATTTTGAATGTAGAAAACGGTTGATAAAGTGATATAACTCTGAGAACCAAAGTCAGCAGAAGCTATGGGAACAAAATTAAACCAAAAAGTTACAGAAGCAGAGAGTTTCTATTAGCAGCAAAATATCGAAGGCTTTATTTCTATAGCTCCAATTCACATCATGTCATCTCAGGTCAATTTCCAGTTCACCAGATCATCCAGTCAGATTGATTCAAAGTTTTCTATCTAAGGAAAACCAGCTGATTGCATCGACTCATTGACTCTTCAGCAATCCCTCACACTAAGCATGCTTATAGCGACAGTGGAGAGGAAAAACTCCCTTTGAACAGGAAGAAACCTGCAGCAGAACCAGGCTCAGTGTGAGCGGCCATCTGCTGAGGCCCACTGGGGTTCAAGGAGACAGAAGCAGACATAGAAAAAGAAGCATAGATACAAAAGGCAACTGTCAACCAGCTCCACAGGCGGCCCCGTCCAGGAAACACACAGCCAGGCAGACGAGCTCCGAGCCAGCTCCCATGTCAGAGGATGAAGAGAGCACATCCAGTTAGTCACAGTCAGAGAAACAGGACTACACTGGAAAACAGGCCAAGCTCCAACATCTAGAAACAAAGGTGTTGATGGCAGCAGCACAGCTGATATTTCTCTCCAGGATGGAGTCACAGCCAAACAGGAACAGACCAGATGAAGCTACTATGAGAAAAAGCAGAGAGAGCAGAACGTTAGAGATTGAACTAACAGATTCTGCAGAGTGGGAGAATAGAGATAGAATGAAGCAGAATGATGAAAAAGGGGTCCCTATGTCCTCCAGCAGTCTAAGCCTATGGCAGCAGAACTATAGAGATAGATCAGGATAACCTGAGCCACTCTAACTAGAAGCTTTATCAAAAAGGAAAGTTTTAAGCCTAGCCTTAAAAGTAGACAGGATGTCTGCCTCACGGACTAAAACTGGTAGTTGGTTCCTCAGGAGAGGAGCCTGAGAACTAAAAGATCTGCCTCCCATTCTACTTTTAGAAATTCTAGGAACCACTAGTAAACCTGCAGATTGAGAGCGAAGTGCTCTGTTAGGAACATAAGGAACAATCAGATCTCTGATATCAGATGGAGCTTGATAATTCAATATTAAAATCCGACTGATATTAATAGTTTGATCGGGACATCCTTCATATAAAGTTTGACTATTTCGCATTTTATCCGCACCCAAAAATATCAAATGGATACAGATTGTCAACCCCCAGAAATACACACCACTTATATAATAAAGGGAACGCTCAAATAGCTCCTGGATCTGAATGAATGAGATCTCATTAAAAACTTCTGTTCAAAAGATGAAAATGCTAAAAAAAAAAAAAAATCATACAAAAATCTGACCCATAAGTTCCCAAAGCAACTCACCAGACATAAAAAAAAAACAAAAAACTTTTAGTTTAGTTTTAATTAGGAAAACCTGAAGAATGGATAATAATTCTTAGAACCTATAAGTCTGTTCAGAAAAGATATTTGTGATCTTTAACATAATTAAGGAGTTTTTAGTTATTAGCATTGATGAGAATATTATTTTAATATTCAACGTTAGCGATGCAAACTGCTTTCTGTAAAAGAACGATGAGGCTTCTAATTATTTTCTTATCTTAGTCTAAAGTTACTCTGACTGTCGAGGGGGGGGGTTTAAACGATACGGTAACGGATCTGGTGGAGATGGAGCGTCACTGGAATCACCTGCATGGCCGCTCCCTTAGCCAGGCTCCACCTTCAACAAAGATAAATATGAAACATAAAGTATGGCGCTACAATAGTGCCAAAAACATGCTTAGCTACAAAGACATAAGCATCCATGTGTCTGTTTAAGAGGCTGTATCCTCATGAGTACGTGGAGGTTATTTGTTAGCTGCTTATGAATAAATATGCTTATTTCCAAATAGTTTATAAATATTCTGTTAAAAGAAAAGATTAACTGTATTTTAATGAAGTAACCGGTGTTGTGCATGGACGGCGTTCACTTTTTTTTAGTTAACGGTGGACAGATCAGTTCTGAAGTGATGAATGTGAACGAGAGCGACGTTCACTCTGAGAATAATGAGCGACACACACAGCTCACATTGGCGTTCAATTGATCACGTCACTTTTCATCGGATATCGTCAAGTTTTACGGCATTTATTACGGTAAACGGCCTGACAGAGCAGCAGGTCTCCTGCTAGAACCAGTCTGCTCCATTCAGACGCTGCTTGGATTCCTGATGCTGGTTTAGCAGAGCGCTTCGCAGAGTTTGATCAACTAACAAAGGAATAAACTCAGGCAGGTGTTCAACTAACATCGGATTGAGGAAAGGAATTATTTTATGCAAGCCGTCATCTTCTAAAAATTAAGCAGCAATAAAAAAAATGATCAGAGGAGGTTTCTTTTTCTTTTTTTTTTTCTTTTTTTTTACTTCCATGATGTGGAGCAGGAAGTTGTGGGCGTGGCTTTAACTCTTCTCTGCCAATCGGGATCCGGGTGTGTGCATGATCACCACCTCTGTTTCTATTACCTCTATGGGGAGAAATTTGCTCCGATATTATTAAAGCTGATGCAAAAACGGAAAAAGAGCTTTTTCTCTCAACATTTTTCGTATCTTATTTTTCTGTTTTAATTTATTTTTTCTGATTCTGTTTTTTTCAGATATTTTTTTCTATTTTTGTTTTTTTTATAAGATCAAGTAAAAATAATTTTGTTTTCAAATTCCATTTTACAGATTCCAACCTCTACTCTATAAAATAAGAATAAAATAAATAAAAGCTTAAATTAAAAAAATTACATTTTGCGGAAATGCAATAAAAAATATCTGAAAAAAATATTTTATGGTAATTTAACAGAATAATAGAAATAAATGAAGAAAAAACATTTAACAAAGGAATAAATTCAGGTTTTAGTGCAAACTGTTCCCACCAGGATTTAACAAACAAGTCTGTCCGTTAGCCACGCCCCCTTCACTTTTAAAGCCACACATGGAGTTAAAGCATTCGAGCTTTCTGTGGAAATATCTGCTGCTGAATGAGGAACAGAAGAAATCATTTAGGATCCAGATCTTTTCAGCAGAATCTGAATGTTTCTGAAGTTCAGGATTTTCCATTTCTTTCTATATTTTCTGATCAGACATTTAAAGGATGACATATGAGCTTCTGTTGTGGAGGATTGTGGCTTCATTTACTAACTGAACCTGAACTAGTTCATTTATAGCTTTTAAAAAGTGAACTATGAACACGAACAGTTCATTTCCATCTGTGTGAACTGAACTTTGACCTCCTTCTGTTTCATTAAGAACTGGCAGAACATTGGTAGTATCAATTTTTTTT